AAAAGTCAACTTGTAATCACCAAGCAAAAAAGAAAAAAGAAATGATATCTATGATCTAGCAATAGCAATAGCAGTTCGACTTATATATCTCTTCATAGGGCTTTCAGCTCTCTCTAAGCAGTTTACAGAGTCAGCATATTGCCCCCACAGTCTGGGTACTCATGTCACCCACCTCGGAAGGATGGAAGGCTGAGTCAACCTTGAGCCTGGTGAGATTAGAACCGCTGAACTGCAGATAGCAGTCAGCTGAAGTGGCCTGCAATACTGCACTCTAACCACTGTGCCACCTCGGCTCTTGATACTGAAGGGGTTTAGTACTACAGTAACCATACATCTACAGAAATTACCAATAAATTTTGGGAAATGTGTCTTGAACATTGTCTATAGCCTTCAATCGCTTAATGGAATAATTATTTTTGTGAAAATATAAGAGAGCCTCTTTGAGTCTCCAGATACCAGATCAGCAACTAAAATTTAATTTAATTTTAAATTTCAATTCTCTATTTGTTGTTTCTTATGTTTTATATGGCATTTTTATTGAATGATTATGAATCATCTAAAGTCTCCTTTAGCCTATGAATAGCATATGAGTGTAATAAATAATAATAAAATACCACTATACCTGGTCAAGATTTGTGGGATTTACAGATAGACTCCAAAATAGGGAAATTCTTAAAGCAGAAAGTAACTTCCCAAATAATTGAATAAGGATTGGATATGCCCAGTTATCAGAAAACACTGACTGACGAGTCAAGTTTTAAAGAGATGATGGAGGGGAGCCAGTCCAGACTGGGAAAGCTTGGGGGAAAAACAAACCTGTCACCTGGCTAAAACTTCAAAGAGGGCAACTCCCAGCTGCAATTTTTTGCTGTAGGTCCCATTTAAATTTACCAAGCTTGTCAGCCACATTATGGACTTGCTTAGACTTCACATAGGCACTGTAGAAAGACTCATTAGAGTTGGCCTGCCAAGTAGAAAAGGGAAGAGCAGATACTCTGGTAATTATAGGAATCCTATGACAGGCAGAGAAAAGCAGAAAGATTTCTTTTGGAAGGAAACAGTGTGAAATGAAGAATGAATCTTTCCTAGCAGGCCTCTAAAAATAGTTTAAGGAGACCCAGATTTATTTACTGATTTTACTTATTATAAATAAATATAAAATCCTACCATTTTACCCTAAGGGTACTCATACCATCTCTGTCCTCCTGTCTATTCTTTCATATTATCCACTGGCAGTACCCTTTTCATATACTGTCTTATATTCCAGCATGAAATAATGGCCATTTGTCATCAGAAACCCTCTGCACCGTATCTCCGACAAAAGTAGTCAGGCTACATTAGAAAAAAAATGGATTCGTTTCTGATGTCAAAAATGAGCCGTGTTCAAATACAAAGAAGGGAACACTTAAACTCCCTGGGTTAATATCTCAAGACGGTTGTCCTTGAGAAAAGAAATGCCGAAGATTGATTTTATATGAAACAACTGAGTTGAAATTTATTCATTTGGAGATTTAACACTATTTTTCAAAGGATTACACAGAGGCCATTTTGCATCACACTGCATGTGTTAAATGGCTCACTGGTGCTAGAATGTGTCACACCTAATAACTGTTTTGTGAATGTCCATTGTCAAGAAACTAATTATCACTGTCTATACCATCTACTTTGTGTTTTCCACTGACCATACTGTATACAGTTCCACTCACTTAATCTTTGGGAATATTCACACACAGACACACACACAAGCACACACACACACACAGAGGGAGAGAGATTAAATGGGTGGAACTGTAGACAGTATGGTACAGAATATATTTATTAAGAATTTTAAACAGAAGACAAAAACTTAGGAAGAGAAATAAGGGGAAAGAAAAAGTCAAGAGTTCAAAAAGAAAAAAATAGAAGTTACTTCCAATTTCCTTTACAGCAGGGGTATCCAATCATGGCAATTCTAAAATCTGTGGACTTCAACACCCAAAATTCCCCAGCCAACTGACTGGGGAATTCTAAGACTTGAGGTCCACAGGTCTTAAAGTTGCCAAGGTTGGACACCCTGCTTTACAATACGAATCACAATTATAAATACAATATTACCTCTTACCCCATGATTACAAAAACAATTTCTTCTTTTTCTATTATCTTTTTCCCCTAATACAACATGTAGATCATAAGTTCATTTTCTTCTGTTTGATGCAAAAAGTTCATAAGAATGAATGTACATAGTGGTGGGGGGGGGGTTGGTTTTTTTCAAATATTTTGTTCCTCAATTTAGCGATCTTTGACCCCTCCATTTGAATCTCATCTAAATCATCTTTAAATCTTTCTTTCTCAATCATCTTTAACTCTCTCGCCTTCTGAATAGAATTCAGACAAAATCTTGGCTTTTTGAAAGTACATATCACACCTTTTAGGTTGTCCTATCTAAATGAGATTTCTGTGTGTGTTAAACTTTCAATTTAAAAAATCCCCACTTCTTTCTGTTCAATAAAACTCTAATATCAATTTCTTTCTTCTAAAGAAATAACTGTATTATACATTTTCAATCTTGTTATTAAAATGCTGCTGCAAAATGTGATCTCTTGCTTTCTTCTTAACAAAGTTCACCAAACCTTTCTATGAGACATTTCTTGTTCTAGCAAATCTGGAATTTATTTTATAAACTTTATCAATCTCTGTCTCAGTCTTCTCCTCTTCTCAATCCAAAAGTTTGCTAAAGCTTTAATAACCTTTATCTAATACCTTCACCCGAGTTTTCTGGAATTGCTCTAAAACTCAAGCAGAATTCTTCCTCTCGATTTCAATAGGGCCACGTTATTAAATTCTCTTTCTAGCTCTCTATACATAACATCATCTTTAAGATTTCCATTAATCTGTTTTGTTTCTCCAAACATTTGTTTTGCAGAACATTCCACTTTCTTAACTTTTTATTTAATCTCTTTTCTCATCTTTGCACATTTTTCATGTTTTTTTAAAAAAACACTTCAACTTATTATTCAAAGATTGTCCAACTTGCTACGTATTGTCTGAAGCAAATTTGGTGTCATTCTCTTCTCTGCAGGTTGCTTTTCCAAACCTCTCCTTCCTTCCATCCTTGAAGCTTTTCTCATTGTTGCCAATTTGATATTATAGTCTAAAGATAGAAGAAACTCTGGCAGAGGAAAGAAACAAACTTCCTCTCTTTTTTTCTCTTTCATCTTTTTATGCCTTTAACACTTTCATCTCTGATGACACATTCCACAGCTTCAAACCACATCACATTTCACATCTCCATGGCAACAAGTATCAGAGCCTGGGTCATTTTACCTTACTTTTGTTTGGTAAAATCCATCAATTTCTTACATTTCACATCTAAATTTCTTTCCAATTTAGATGTGAAAAGAAAGCATTCCCACAAAAGTCTGGTCCATTTGTCTAGTTTAATTCAAGTTATACAAAAGTACTTTCGCCAAAAATAAAAACAGTGAAAATAAAATGTTACCGTATGCTTTTGTTTGTTTTAAACTTTCTGCAATCATTGGATGGGGGTTTTTTGCCCCAAAATCTTGAATTGTTAAAATCTTGCATTTTTTTTAATCCAGAAAAATGATACAATCACCAAGAAGGTTCTATCTTGCTGCAAAGGAAAATTCTCTTTATCTGTACATTAATTAAATCCAGGGGTGGGCTTCAAAAATTTCAGCAACAGGTTCTCTGCCCCATTGCTGGATTGGTGTGGCCATGGTACGCATAGCCTAGTTGGCCTCCTGCACCACTGGGGGAGGGGGCACTTTTGCCTTCCCTAGGCTCCAGAGGCTTTCCTTGAGCCTCTGGGAGGCGAAAACTGCTTCCCCCAGGCTCCAGAGGCTGGAAACAGGTCCGTTTCCCCCCCTCCCCGTGGGCCGTGCAATTACCTCACATCCAAAATGGACCATGTGGAGATTTCAGGGAGGGGAGGGGTGGGATGGGCATGGCCAGCCAGGAATGGGATTTGGAGGTTCTCCAAACTGGCCATAATGCTAGCTACATGTTTTCCTGAACCTGGGCGATCCCATAGACACCCCCACCCCCGATTAAATCCAAAATAGCTGAAATGGGAATGGCTGGGTCCATATAGGCCATAGTGTAGTTGTGTGTAAAGATGAATCCCACCACCCCACCCACTTACTTCTGTACATATATTCATACAATGCACACAAAGGCATACAGTATATATATATTCCTGTGTCACAAGATGGTTCACAAAAGCTATTGCATGTATGAGTGTGATCCTTTATGGTGCCACTTGGTTTTGCTGCATCAACTGCTATTCCACAAATGTTTTTAATGTTTCTAGAAATGATTTTAATGTTTAAAGACCCTTCTAGGTTTCGTGAGAAATATCAAGCAATTATTTTGTCCTGTCCCCTTGGAGCCACTGGTTATTTAAATGAGAAAAAAAATCCTTTGAAAAGCACTACAGTGTGTTAGGCTATGCAAATAATTTGTGTGTACTGTAATTTTCTTGATAAGCGAGTTAGAGTATTTTACATATATTTCACATTTAACATTCACTTATGATTATGGCGGTAGTGACTTGCTTGTTTGTGTTGGTTTTTTGCCATTTTATTATGACTGTGTTCCCTCTTTCCCTTCAAGTGGCATATATATAAATTTATATTGTTTCTGACAGTTTAAAATGTTATATCCTTATTAACCTTTAAATTTATTGTTGCAAATGAGCCTGGCGGAATCTCGCTGTGCAGTGATTTAGGGGACGTTTGAGAGGATGCTTTTCTCTGATAACTAACATTAGTACTTATTCTATATTCATTATCAGATTATATGATTCCGAAGAAAAGTTGTTAAAGTTATCACTTAGGGTGTTCCTGGAGAGCCGAAAATTACAGCGTTAATGCCCTTTAGTAAAGCTGTTAGGAAAGGACAGAGCGGAAAATAACTTCTCTTTTTCCACTTTGCAGCATCCTGAAGTCCATGGAGTTTGCGCCATCTGACGGCTCAAGCATCCAGGTAATTCATTCAATTTTCTGGTAGAGCAAAGCTGGATAGATTTTTTGGGGAATGTTCGCTTGGATTGAGAATTTCCTATTCAAATGTGGTAAGAGTTTGTAGGAATTGTAAGCGATCATAGCTATTTTTTTTTCTTTCACGTAAAAATCTTACTTTCTCAGTTAGCTGGTATTCAAAGTATGGCTGCTGTTTTTTTTTCTAGTATTGGATATTGGTACGTTTAAGCTGCCCAGAGTTGCTTTGAAATGAGATGGGCGGCAAATAAATTTAATAAATAAATAAATATTACAGAGGAAAATAATACAGAAATGAAAACAAGAATTGGAAGTAGGAACTTGTGGTGTAGAACTTTCCTAAATCACAAGCTCCTTCAACGACCATGGGTTTATAAGATGGATCAGACCCAATAGTAGTTTGATTGTCATATATACTGTAACGTATGAAACCTTGGGCTCACTGGCTCCTCCATGAGTAGCACAGTAACACCCCAACTAGTGAGGATTTGATCATTGTCACACATCATTTGTGGCAAGATTTCAACAGGCACCTTGCCTACCTAAGCCTAATTTATTGTGTCCCAGCTAGCCATGCAAGATGTTTGAAGATGGTTAGAATGATTAGAATTACCCAAATAGACAACTGTTTGGAAAGTTGTCATTAACGTGAACTTTCTGGAATCGTAAGGTGTTAATGCAGATGACCAAAGAGGCTGTATTTTTCTCCTTCGTCCACTAACACACTTATCTCCACTGTTGTATGAGCATTGGGCTGATTATATGAAGAATAATTAACAAAGCCAAACCATTTACAACATAAACATTGAAGAGGGGGTTAGCTCCAGTTTCTCTTAATATCAGTTTCAGAGAGAAATAGGGGTTTGGCCATTTGAACCATCTCCCTGATCTGAAAAGTACAGCAACTTTCCTGGTGTGGCATCTCTCAATCTGTTGGCATTACAACTGCCAGAATTATCTTACTACTATGCTCCCTTTTTTGCCCTCCCCCAGCCCTCAGGAGCATTTTGCAAGCCTCCCAAATAGCAATAGCAGTAGACTTATATACCGCTTCATAGGGCTTTCAGTCCTCTCTAAGCGGGTTACAGAGAGTCAGC